TAGATATAAGCATACATAGTATATAGTATTACAGATTATCATACAATACTATTTAGGCAACTATCATTACTGATATTGAACTAAAGGAAAACCACATGTTTAGCTAAGAAATTTTACCTAGCTCACAGCTCCAGATAATTACCATTGCCAGGATATAAATCTTGCTATACTCTGCCCACTATACCATGTTTCTTGTTATATATTGTTTCCATTGAGTTTACATTGTCACTCAAATATTATGAAAATATATCTAATGTAAGCCACATTAGGTTCACCTTGATCTTTCCTAGTTAGACAATATTCAGCACCTTTTAGGAAAATGTCTTATTATGACTCTGATACAGGATTGAAACTGCTGTAAGTTCTGTGACTGTATTCCTGTATTTGCTTCCTCAACTTTCCTCCAATCCGTGGAGTGGGTCTACAGAGTAAAATCATGATGAGTAGAATCCTGGTTGACCTCAGAAACTTATAGAAGGAAAGCAGACACATGCTGAATCTTTCCCCTCACCCTCCATTGTGGTACTACTAAGACAAGGCAGAACCATCAATGTACAAGTCAAGAACCATTTTTCTAGGAATTAAGTATGGGGTGGTTCCATATACAAACAGGGTACAATTTCTTATGTTTAGTAGAGTTACAAAGTCTCTTGCCCCTTAATACTCACACCAGAGTTCCCTATGAAGTAAAGGTACCCAGTGTTTTCTAAAGGCAGACACAGACACTGTGTAAGGGACTTGACATAAGATGATTGATTCTTCACAACTCCACACGGAACCCCTAAAGTCACCTAATAAACCATATGGCTCGTATTCCTTCCCAGGACTTGTTTAACCTGGAAATCTCATGCTATAGTGTCTCCTACAGTACTTGTCTATTGACAGTAAAGCCCATAGTGAAAGTATAGAAAATTGGCAAAAAATGTTTCTATTTCAGTGACCAAGATTATGGTTTTCCCTTCTCTTTCCTCCTCTTTGATCTCAGTAGCACATAGATCAAGGCCTCATATGTAGGAAGTGTGCCTGAGGCATGGAGTTAGAAAAGGTGGAAATGTATACAGATTACTCATGAGGTATTCTTTCTTACATTCTGATGTAGCACAAGGGGTTTATAACCAAAACTATGGTCAGAGAACCAAAAAAGCTCTGTTTATGAACTGGCCAATGAATGTTCATTTTAATCACTGTACAGTAATCAATTAGTAATATGCACACAGCAAGAACAATATGAACTCTGAAGCTACAAATTGTAGAGCTGAATAAATCACCATTTTAAAATAATATAACTAAAGATAATGCATATTTATTTCTGGATGATAATTCATTTTTGTTTCATAGTGGAGAAAATATACAAAACAATTTTAGACCTTAGTGTCTATTCCTACATCTGTATCAAGAAAAATGTTACTCATAGTATTTAATTATATAATTTCAATATTCAATGCTTTGCTTAAGACCAAAAGACTGTAACATGAGCTTACCAACTTTCTTTTGGTGTTTTAAACAATTCAATTTTTAAAATACAAGACAATGCATTAGTCATATTATTAAAAGAAATGTACAATATTTTTTTTATTTACCATTCATAGGATTAAGTGATGACACTGTCTTGGTAATTTAGATCCTAAGTATGATGTTTCAACTAATTGTTGCCAAAAATACAAAATTTTAATCAGTATCAAAAGCTTCTAAGACCAAATTCAACTAGAACTACCAAAGGAATAAAATACAGTAACCTTAGTTATGCTTATTTAAAATTATCATTAATTGGAAGTTGGTTATAATCAGAGTTAGACATTTGCTGTGTCTTTTTCAGATCTATTTTTGGTTACTCATCATTTTATTCTTCTAAATTTCTACCCTTTTAGTGAAAAAAAATAAAAATAATAGTGACAATATGGAAAAGAAACAGATGGGATGCTCAACAAATTGCATATGTGCACACAAGTGTGGGTCCCATTCCAGATCTAAAATGGCTGAGTTGCAGGATGATGTTGCCTGGTGACCAAATAGTATCTCCTCGGCCACACAGCAATCTAAACATCAGAGACAGATAGGTCCCCTTAGCTTCAGAAAGCCAGGACAAATATTAAAGGGCATATTTATTTTTGCCAGTGGTCAAAGGTTTTTATTTTAAGTCAGTTGTCATGTGTTTGATTTTATCATCAGTTATGTTTAAGGTTGAGGGGTAAAAGGATTTGCAGAGCCATATCTATTCTTCTGGGAAAATAAGAGGCAGACCTAAGCTTCTTTAACTATGAAACTAATAGTCTTGTTACAATTAAGTCTATGGGGGTGTGTCTACTCTGCTCTTGTATAACCTCCCAGTTGCTATCTGTCTCCTTTTCTTTCATTAAACTAAAGTAGTTAATTAGCCCAGGCCTGTCCTCTCCCCTTTCTCTTTCCCTTTTCACAGTAGTAATGATGGCTAATTATCAGCAGCAGTGGATCACTGCAACGTCAGGAGTACAGCATCTCTCACTGACAGCAAAACCAGCTACAAGGAACCCTGAAACCTCAAGGGCTCAGAATGATTCTTAGACTACTTGAAAACACCATTCAAATGCAGCACTTCATTTCAACGAATACACACTATTGATTTAAAACAAAATACATTTTTGTCTTCTTGGTAATTGCACTCCTGCTATTATGAAGAAAAATCAACACGTTTAAAGGGAGCGATAATCTGAGATGTAAAGAATGGATAAAAGGAATTTTTATTTATTTTTTTAAGTCAATGAAATGATGATTGGCTGTCTCTCAGAGAAGGTGGAGCCTATAATTCTATGTCAGGAGCAGTAGAAAAATTTCATAAAGAGGAAAAGAAGAATTCGTGAATTAAAAACCTCTTCAACATTTCAAAACAGGTTTGAATGAAAAGCAGACCTCTTAAATATTACATCAAAATCATTATCTGTATTCCACCTGACAGATAACATCTTCTCCCATAAATATATGGAATCTCTACTGAAAAGGGAAGCACGTGTCACTGTATTATTACTCCTGGACTTGTCACTCCATAGTACAAATCTAAGCAGTTCTTTAATCATTCTGCATTAATTTTTGACTGAAAATATTAGCATTAGAGCATGTGAATAATGGTTTCATGACTGGTCTCCATGATTGTTTTAGTGCCTCTAAAATCATGACAAAATTCATGTTATTTAGATTCTTAACTATTATTTGTAAAGGACACATGTGTTAACACATATAGCAGATGCAGACATATCTGTGCAAATATAAACTCGTTGATTCCATACACCAATGAAACTATCTGACAATTTAACAAGGGCACCTAAATTTAACATAAAAAGAACAAAAAACCAAATTTCTAGCTAGCAACGTTTATATATACATACATATTCTGTAACATATTAAGTAAATTCATCTTAAGTAAGTTCATCTTAAATTATTCTGCTCATTCAAATAGAATTCTAATTTGCTTTGTGTATAAATTATTTTATCAAGTTCTTAATGTTACTGTTGACACCAATGAATCAAAGCAATTCATTCTCTACAACCGACTTCTGGCTGGAGCAGTTGTAAATAAACCTCAGTTCTAATTCCTGCCAGCCTAGTCCTCATCATTTAGCAAAGCAAGACAATAATCCCACCATTGTCTTTAGCAGTTCCACATGTTAAAGAAGACGACCACATTTATAAATCTATCTCCTAGCAATCTTCCAACAATAGCACATTAAAAATAAAACAACTTCCATGGGTTTCCATTTCACCTTTATTTCCATCTCCCATCTTCCATACAAATTCCAGAAGAGTGCACCTCCTTCGAACACTATTCTTAATTGCTCTTAGGGAAAACACAAGCTGCTTCCCCAACAGGTCCTCCAAATATTGCTCTGAAAAGCCTTGCATATGCATATTTCCAATTTATTATACCTCCGGTGGAGACAGAAGTAGCACAGCCTTGGAGACACCTCCTTCCTAGCATGCTCCGGGAACACCGCACAGGGAAACAGTGCTGCGAAGGGAGGGAGGCGGGAGCCAAAGCTCAAGAAATGTCAGAGAGGCAGAAATACAAAGGGTTCCAGATCGCCTCGCCACCTTTACTCCAGACAAGCACCCTCCGCGGCACGAGGCTGCGAGGTCTCCTGCATCCGATCTGCAATCCTACTTGCAGCGCTCAGATACCATCTTCCGGTAGAACAGAGCCAGGCTGCCGCAGCTCCGCAGCCCCGCTGGCATCTGCGTGCCAGGCTGAGGTGCCCTGGGCTCTCAGCGCCAGGACCAGCTCCGTGGCCAAGACACCAGAGCCACCCCAGAAAGAGGAAGAACTGCACACGGCATCCGATCGCGCCCCAACCGTCTCCCTTTGTTGTTCATCATCTAGTTGCCGCTTTATTTGTGCAGCGGGCCAGTGAGGCAGGGGATGGGGGTGGGGAGGCGGGGAAGAAGCATCTCCACCACCTTATCTACCATCTCAGCAGTCGGGGCCACATCTCGGGAGCGATCCGGGCGGGCCGACTGCCCCGGGTCTCCCCAGCGGCTGTCTAACAATAAAACCTGATAAGCGTCCTGGGGGAAGCCCCACAGGCACTCTGGCCACACGAAGGCTTTGTGCCAATGAGCACACACTGTGGACGATCGATCAGAACCGTCCTTTATCAGAGTGTGTGGCCGGGCTTGCAGCCTGGCCTTCGATGCGCGCTGGTGGCGGCGCTGGGACACGCGCCAGGCGCCCGGCGAGGGACGTGGGACAATGGCCCGGCCCGAGGACTCCGCCCGACCCGGGCAGGGAGCTGCGGCAGCGGTCCGGTCCGGCTCCGGAGCTGCGCTGCCGCTTTAAAATAAAGGACCACAAAGACTCCTGGTGCGGAAACCGCGCCCGGCTAGCGCGAGTGGGGACGACTTGGGGAGGGGGTTGAGGAGGGTGGGGGCACACGAGCCAACGGTGGCTCGCGGCTCCCCCGCGCTCCCCCCTCTCCTCCCTCCCCGCCAGGCTGCTCGGGCAGACAAATAACAGAGGAAGGCGAGTCACTCACCGTGGTCTTGACGGGCACGTAGAGCACTTGCTTGGCGCCGCCGCCTCCCCCGCGGACCTCGTCCGGCTGGCCCAGCTGGAAGCCCTTCGATTTGACCCAGAATTTAAATTTGGCGTTGTCCGTGGAGCTCGACTCGGATCCGTTGAGGAGCTGGACGATCCGCTCGTATTTTTTACGGGTCACCGTCTTGGTCTTGCCTGAGTCCCCGTAAGTCCTGAGGCACCAGTCCTGGAACTGGCGGTACATGTCGCGCTCGCTCTCCATGTTCCCTGCGCCCGGCCGCCCGCCGGATGCTCCCAGCGCACTTCGCACCTGTTCACCCTGGGCTCATGAAAAATGCAGCCCGGGCCACGATGTGGGGACGCGAGGTCCCGGCCGCCGCGGGAGCCTGCTTCGGGTGGGGTGGTGTGGGGTGGGGTGGGGTGGAGGGAGGAACGGGGCGCGGGGAGGAGGGTCCGGTTGGGCACCAGCAATCAATGCCCTGTGCTACAAGTCTGGCTCATTCGTAATTTGCAACGGATGTCTCAGCCGCTGTTCCCGTCCTCCTAGGGATCGGTCTCTTTAATATTGTGTGACCAGGACCATCCCAACAGCATCTGGCCCGGAGGAGCAAGGGTTTTTGAATAATTAAAATCCCATTCGTTGGTTTATTAAAAATCCCAATATTGACTTGGGGAGGTCCCTGGAGTCTCGGCCCCGGGCTGCGTCCCGGGCAGGGCAGGTGGAGCTGGAGCGCAGCGCCACCGCCCCGCGCGCGCCCCACAAGCGTCCCCAGCCGAGGCCCGCGGGCCAGGAGCGAACGCTGCGCCTCTCCCGAAAGCCGGCCCGACCAGGCGCCTGCGATTCCCGGAGGACACCCAGGTCCCCCGGCTCTCCTTCCCTGGGGTCTTGCTCCTCTTCGGCCTCCTCTGCCACAGGCGTTGAGGGACTAGAGAGAGAGAAAGTTCTTACCTGACATGTTTGTAAGCCTATCAAATCCTGTTTTACAGGAATCTTAAGAAACCAAGGTGTTTCAAAATGTCATTTCTTCATATGCATTGGGCTGAATTCCGGTCCCGCGTGGAGATTCTAGGAGTTAAAGTCTCAGAAATTCAGAGTATTCCTGGAGATGTGGCTAGTTGTATAAGAGAGATGTAGTGCCCCAAACAGAGATCGGATCCAGGGAAACGCATCACGCGAAGGCAGGCCGCCGGCTGCGGGTCTCCCGGGTAGTGATGGGGCCCCAGACAGGACCCTTTTGGTTTCCACTGAAGTGGGCACGAGATGTAGAAGTAAGTTTATGGTGCAGATGCTTGAACGTCTTTGCAGGAGATTAAAATACAGAGAGAGACCTTCCCCTTGCTTGGTCACAGTTTGCTGTTCACACGGGAGGTTTCCGTTGCCTACTTCCCCCCTGTACGTCATGGACACCCCCTGCACCGCTCAGAGTAGCCAAATCTGAGTTCCTCCGGACGATTTTCCCCAGCAGATGAAGTCAGCGGTTCCTCCATTCGGGATTTCCATCCGCTGGTTACAAGGCTGGACATGGGGGAGTTCCCATCCTCGGCGCGCAGTGGCCGCGGCCGCTCCTCTTTATTCTACTCTCCGCCGAGGCCCGCGCCCGTCCCAGGGAGCGGCTCTGCCGGGAAGGCGACCCGACCCGTGCCCGGCTCCCGGTCGGCGTCCGAGCCACGACCGCCACTCCTCGTCCTCTCCCAGACGCTACAGCCCAGAACAGCTAGCCGGGCGGAGTGTTGGTGCCCACCGCGCCGCAGCTCGTCCCGGCACTTGCAAATGGTCAGTGGCTCCCGCTCGGCCAGGCTGAGTGTGTGCGCGTGTGTGAGCAAGGGAACGAGGGTGTGCGGTGCGCGGGGGTGCGCTGTGTGTGCGCGCGTCTCCGGGAAGGTCTCGCGGCCGCTGGAGCCGGGACTGACAGCCCGGGCGGTGCGCGAGCAGCTCCACACACTAAACCTCTCGCCTCTCCCCTCACCCCCACCCCTCCCACTCCCCTCTCCTCCCACCCCCTCCCCACCCCCCTCGGCCCCTTCCAAGCTCTCTGATTGGCCAATGGGACAAAAGTTTCTGTGGAGACGGCTGGGCGCTGACGTCACGGGCAGAATTGTCCCATTTAGGGATCCCGGGGGCAGTGCGCATGCTGCAGGCTGCAGGTTAGAGGCAGGAGGAGCTAGCAGCGGACCGGGCGGCAGCCAGGTGGCAGAAAGGAGCACGCAGCATCCAGGTGGGGGGACGACTCCAGCAGGGTTTCCATGGAGATTTCCTCTGGGTCTAGCCTAAAAACAGCAGATCAGCTGACACCATTAGCTCAGGACCTAATTACTGCTTATTGGAGCAACAAATGAGGGAGAGGGCCAGCTGCAAAGGAAGAGTTTTATCCCCCTCCATCTTCTCCTTTCTCCCCCTCTCTCCATCGCTCTTGAGTCCCGGGTGAATTCTCATTAACTTGCAAGATTCCTGCAACAACAGGCTTCACTTCTCCTGTGGCCACCCTGACAGCATTTATTCCTTTTTACTTCCTTCTTTTGTATAAAAAAATACAAAAATAAATCAATTGTCCTGAGTCCTTGAATCTCTGTCCAATAAATATTAGGCCAAGAGAACTCAGAGAACATTGTCAAATAGAAGTCACTGTGAATCTAATGTGTACTGGGGGTGGATGAGGAGATCACTTTTAATTTATTGAATCAGTTATTTACCTTTAGGTCTTCTCTTTCACATCTAAAAAAAAAATCCTCAATATCTTAAATACATAAATATTTGGGGAAAGCACCTGGAAAGAAACCTGAGTTACCCTTTTAAGTGTGATATATTTCACGCACACAAGTCTGAAAGTTTCCCTTATGGCACGAGGTAGGCAATGACGGAGAGATGTAGGTTTTGTTGTATGTGGTCATGTGTCTCCTAGAAGTTTCTAGAAGGATAGTTGGTTCTGGAGTAGTCTTTCAAGAATAAGCTATATTTATTGAGTTTATCTTAATTTACAGTTACAGATTTGTTTCTGGTAGATCTTTAACGAATTAAAATCGGTCTTCTAAACTTCTTTGAATAATGTCTTTCCATAGTAAGGCACATACTTCACTTTAGTTTTATGTATCTGGATATATCTGTCTTTTAAATTTTTATGAAAAAGTGTACTTCATTACACAAAATATACACTGATGTTTGCCATTTCCCCCCTACGTATTTAGTTAGGTAAGATGTGGTCCCACCACATAAATTTATTTTGTGGCCCAGCAAAGGGTGATTGGCAACCAATAGTGGGAAAGACATTGTTTGAGATTTAAGAGCTATGCTATTCCTTCTATGGTATTTATTTATATTTTCCTGTACACTTCGTGGTTGAAATAAGATTTTTCATTGTAAGACTTTTTTAAGTTCATATTTCCTAGTTTTGTCAGTAACTTTAGCACAATGAACAATACACATAACATGTACTTACTAAATACATACTGAGTTGATAAGTGAAGGGAAAGAAGGAAAGAGAAAGATGAGGAAGAAGGGAAAAGCAAGCATACACAATCTTTCTCCAGCCTTGCTAACTTCTGCTGAATACTGTTAGGATGAAGTTGGTCTCCACTTAAGGAAATGCTAGGGAGCTCCTGCTTGTACATGAGTGCTCTATTTGTGACTATACTTCATGTATGAAAATTAGAGCATAAAGAGCTGGCAAAATGTAAACAAACATATCACAGCCCTACTTGTATTAAGTAGACTTGATATAAAAGCCAAAGACCCCACAAAAAGTAAAATAGATCATATGAAATGTATTCTTTTGGGAAGGAAGAGATAAATGATTAAGCATTAAAAGAGTATTCAAATTGGAATAAAGAAAGAGGGGAACTTTAAGGTTGTGAGGACCAATTTTCTCAAATCCCTAAGGCACTCTCCTCTCTGGTGGGACCGGAAGTGGGTCTGCTTTGTAGCCGTACACATGAGGGGATGTGTGGCTGAGCTGACACCTGTCACTGTGTTTTGCATGCCCCAGAGCATAAGTATTGTGCCGGATGCATATCTTCACTCCTGAACTTAATACCAGCCTTCTAACTAGCCCTAACCTGGGCCCAGATTCTTGCCTACATCACTAGAAAAGGAGGAAAACAGAGGAAGAGGGAGGTAGAAATTTTCACATTGAAAATTATACTTTAAAACATCTAAAATTTGAGTCATAATCAACATGCTTTTGTTATGAAAGTTGGTGTTTTTTCCACCTCATTTTCAATTTATACATTATGGAAAATTGCCCTGTAAAGTAGTCACAAATATCTATACAACACTACATACATTAACTAAATGTGACTGCAAATAATATAGAATCTATAATAATAAAATTAGCTCAAAAGATAAAGACATCTTCAGTGACCCATCCATTAATTATGCTTGCATTCTTTGAGCGCCAATTGCTCAATAGGATTTAGGCTTAAAGTAGTCAGTGAGATGCAAATAGTTCCCATCTCATATAATTCATGTGTTTCTAAGGATATCAGATGGTAAGCAAAGAAATGTATGATTAGTCCTCAAACTTAACATGGAAGGGGCACTGTAAGAGAAAACAATTATAGGAGAAGGCACTTGGTGAGTTTAGGAAAGGTCTTCCTAAGTAGCCAGCAGTATCTTAAGAATGAAGGGTATGAAGGACTCAACCATATGAAGACTAAGGAAGGGGACTTGTAGGCGAAGGATGAAAATGCAGAAGCATTCTTGGCATGTTTGAGAAGCCAGTGAAACTGGAACTTCTTGAGCTTGGAAACAGAAGTGGACTATGAGATCTGGGTACCCTTGGACAGCCAGATCTTATGAGGCAGTGCTTTGCCAGAATAAGGAGTTCGTGTTTTATTTTTGGCCCAGTACAAAACTGATACAATACTTCAAGGAGAATTCCACAATAGGCATTTTGCAAGTTTCACTGGCCATTTTCAGGAGAAAAAATTGGAAGTCAGCAAAGATGGAAGGAGAAATACCAGATAAGAAACTGCAGTGTGCTGTAATAGTTTAGGTGAAAAATTACACTGATAGGTCACAGTCGTAAAAATGAAATCAAAAGGAGGGAGATCAATTAGAGATATGTTTTCTAGATAGAACAGTTCTTGCAGAAAGCAATGGAATGAATTTTTTTTAACTCCCACCCCCATTCCTATGTTAAAATCCTAATAGGCATGGTGATAATAGGTAGGACCTTTGGGATATAACTGAGTCATGAGTGCTCAGCCCAGAATGGTTTTAGTGTCCTTAAAATAGAGCTGAAGAAGAGCTGCTTTTGTCCCTACTTCCAAGTGAAAATGCAGTAGAAAGACCACCATCTATGAAGAAGGCTCTCACCTATCAGACCCAAGATCTTCTAGCACTGGATCTTAAACTTTGCCCCCTCCAGAACTGTAAGAAAAATATTTCCATTGTTTATAATCCATGTAGTGCATGGCATTTTGTTACAGAAAACCAACTGGACTAATAAACCGGTGCAGTGCATGTGGTGAATAAGGGAAGGAGTGGAGTCAGGGATGGCTATATGGTGTCAGCCTTTTGTAGTGTGGCTGTGAAGCCATTGACTTAGAAAGAGGAGTTTGAGGGAGGAACAGATTGGGAGTTGGAGGCTGAGGGAGGAGCAGAAGCAGGTTGGGGTAGAGAGGCAGGAAGAAAGAATTTAATTTCAGAGGAGTTAAATTTGAAATACCAGGAGAGTTGTTCATGTAGGCATTTGAATTTAGAAACCTGAACCAGAGTGAAAAGCCTGGACTAGAGATATAAATACAGGAAATGTAAAGCCATAGGAATCAGTGACATCACCTCTACCCACATTTCCCCACAAAAGAAAAAGCCTTCGTCTTTTGATACTGATTGTTGTAAATATCAATATGCTATGATCAAAATAGGATACCATGTACTGAGTAGCAGAAGTTGGCTTCCATTGGAATACTGGTAGTGGGAAATGCCTGAGAAAAATAGCATAGAAATTTGGATCAATCCTTGACTAGATCTAAGCTGTTAGTGAGTTTCAAAATTTACATGGCTTTAAAATCATTTAAAACTTAAAAAGGAAAGAGTTGAATGCTTTGGTTAGACCTATCTTAGATTAAATTAGGACCTGGAGATATGCTAAAATATAAATTTTAAATTTGAGTGTAGCCTGTGAACACATTTTCCATTGAAGAGATTGGATAGTGAATTTATCTACTGCGTTGAATCAGTAAGGGAATTTGAACCCTTCAGCTAATCTTGAAGTTATGATGGACACGCACACTCCTTTGAAACCTAGAAGTGTGAATATCTTATACATTCAGATGTTTAACAGCCTATTAATAACTCTTTCAAAGAAAAAAGAAGTTGTAAAGAAAGCACGTGGCCAACTCAGCAAGCTGGTTATCATGTAACTTGTTAATTTTTCAAAGTGACACAAAATAAACAAAGTTAAAGCAAAAGGTCCTTTTTTATGCAGATAAACTTGGAAATGTAAAGATGATCACAAATCTGGTTTTATTAGGTGGCTTTTTCTTATTGCCT